TATATATGATAAATTAGGATTTTAACCAACTAGAAAATATGTGAAAGATATCATAATTATTTTGAAACTAATCATGTTATTAATTTTATTTTATTGATTTAATAAGATTATGGAGGATTGTAGTTGGATGTATAGGCGCCGAACTCTACAAGGAGAGATATATAATGAGTTCTATAGTGGAGTTGAATATTTCCTTCAATTTGCATACACTAGCCTTGGTCTTCAATCGAATGATTTAATCAGATGTCCTTGTACTAAATGTTTTAATTTACCGTTGATGACTCGAGAGATGGTATGAGACCATCTTACTAAGTATGGTTTTATGAATGCTTATTCTATTTGGTGGGCACATGGTGAGACATTTGTGAATTCAGCAGATCCATGGTCTGCTACTAATCTGGGAGAATCATCACATAGCCAAGATACACACCAAGATGAAAGGAATGACTTTAGTGAAATGGTGTATGATGCATTTTGTCCAGAGGATGATGATAATTGGGAAATGGAAGGTAATTTCCCCAATCAACATCTGGACAAGGAACCAAACAATCAAGCAAAGGCATTTTATGACTTGCTTCATGCATCTACAATTCCACTTGGTAGTGCTAAAAGAAATGAGACAATGCTTAGCTGGATTTCTTATATGTTACATACAAAGACTGCAAATAATATAACTGCTAATGGTTTTAATGCCATTCTCAAAGGATGTAGAAGGTTGTTAAGTGCTGAAGATCAAGAAAAAGTTCCTTCAAACTTTTATGAAGTAAAAAAATATATGAAGGGGCTTGGGTTAGGTTATCTAAAAATTGATGCTTGTGTTAACAACTACTTTTTATACTATGGGGAGCATACGAAAACATTGACTACATGTCCGATTTGTGGAGAAGCGAGGTATAAACAGAGAAATCCAGGGAGGAATAGACAAAAGGACATTCAGAGGAATTCTCTTTGGTACTTGCCAATAATACCTCGCCTTCAGAGGCTATACATGTCTCGAAAAATAGCTGAGCACATGACATGGCATTTGAAATGTTGTGGTGATACGGATGAGGTCATTCATCCAACACAATCAGAAGCATGGAGACATTTTGAGCAAATGCATCCTTCTTTTAAAAGAGAACCTTGTAATGTTCGATTAGGTCTTGCTATTGATGGTTTCAACCCATGGGCTCATTCTTCAACCTCCTACTTTTGTTGGCCAGTTTTTTTAATTGTTTATAATTTGCCACTAGAGATGTGCATGTGACCAAAGTTTACTTTTCTTACATTGGTCATTGCTGGTCCAAAAAGCCCAGGCAAAAATATCGATGTTTTTCTTCGACCTTTAATTGAAGACTTGAAAATGTTATGGTCGACTGGTGTAGAAACATATGATAGTTATCGTAAGCAAAACTTCATAATGCGGGCTATGTTGATGTGGACCATAATTGATTTTTCGGCTTATGGTAGGTGGCTGGTTGGAGCACTCATGGCCAATTGTCATGTCCTTATTGTATGGAGATGACACAATCTTTTTATCTTCAAAATGGTCGGAAACCATGTTTTTTTGATTGTCATCGTCAATTTTTACCAGAATCACATTCTTTCAGTTTTGATCAGAGTAATTTCTTAAAGGATCAGGTTGAATTAGGCAATCCCCCTCCTCGATTGGATGGTGTTTCAATGCGTCACCGAGTTGAAAACCTTCCTGATGTGTTGTTTGGGAAACCCTTTGAAAACCAAACAATTGAAGGTTTTGGAAACATCCATAATTGGGTAAAAAGGTGCATTTTTTGGGAACTTCCTTATTGGCATGATAATCTTATTCGACATAATCTTGATGTAATGCACTGTGAGAGAAATTTCTTTGATAATATAATACACACTGTTA